GTGTGTGTGTGTGTGTGTGTGTGTGTGTGTGTGTGTGTGTGTGTGTATCTGCCCTCCTCATCATTTAACCTGCTCATTCACAGCTGCTTATAGAATAGTCCATGTGTGTATTTATGTGTGCGTGCCCTCCTCACCTTTAAGCATGCTCACACAGAGATGCTTAAATACATGTGTGTGTGTGTGTGTGTGTGTGTGTGTGTGTGTGTGTGCGTGGTGTGTGTGTGTGTGTGTGTGTGTGTGTGTGTCTCACCGTTCTGCAGGCCCATCCACAGCTGCTTGTGGTCTTTCTTCTGCATGTCGTTGACCACTTGGCTCTTGTGTTTGAGGGCGTCGGCCTCCTTGATGCTGGACATGAAGTGCGCCTCGATCACAGAGTGGGACGGGCAGTGCAGCAGGTCACGCTCCGGGAAATTCTGACACATGCAGAAGAAAATAATTATTTTAAGATTCTCCATTTAGTTCTTGGTGGGCCAATTGGTGCAGAAGGGCTCCAACAAAAGCTGGCAGACATTAAAGGTCCCCTATTATACTGTTTTTCATCAATATATCACAGGTCTCAGATCAGAGGTCTACAGAGCCTGTCTCTGATTGGCTGAAACACCAAACAGATCATTGCAGCATCCCATAATCCCCTCTGTTTCAGCCCTGTTTCCAAAGTGCTGGTTCTCTGTCTGTTACTTTAGATGAAAATAAGGAGCCCCTCCCCACGCCCCTCTGAGAGAGATTTGGTTAAAAAGAACACAATAGCCGCGTACACACCGGAGTACTTTACCCCTTTAGTTCCGTAAGTACCCCTCATGTCGCGTTCACACCAAAAAGAGTACTTAGTACCCCCATTTTTAGTGCCTGCTGAGAGGTGGTACTCTCCTGGGGGAAAAACGTGCCCCAGTTCTGATTGGCTGGGCGAATTGTCCGAAGTCAGGTACACACTCAACAATCAACAATCTTTGACTACTAAGAAAAGTGTTGAATATATGAAATGCATTATTGTTGGTATTTGATATTCATTCTACTTTTAACAGTGGATTTATCTGCTCTAACTCCTGAGGGAAATATCAGGACTTTTGTCTGTAAATGTTCCACTTTCTTCATCAGGAATATGCTCTCTTTGTTTGAGCTGCTTATGTCAGTAAAGACACCAAAGCAGTTAGCCGAGTTAGCAGAAATTCTCTGTGGGTTTCTTCCCATATCCGATATTTTCCAATGCATATCTACCGCGTACAATATGACGCTTGCTACCACCGAGTCATAGAACATCCGCAGCATGTCCTATGACTCGTGGTAGCAAGCGTCATATTGTAGTGTGCTGGGGCAGCAGGCTGAAGGCAACGGACGCCAATAGACTCAATAAGCTCATCAGGATGGTTCGGTCCTGGGAGTAGAGCTTGAGCCTTTGCTAGAGGTGTCAGAGAGGAGGATGCTGAGGAGACTGCTCAGCATCAAGGACAATAACTCTCACCCCATGCATGCCACTCTGGAAGCCTATCAGAGCACCTTTACAGTAGACTGCGAGCACCGAGGAGCACATCTGCAGTTTTAATATTTAACCTCATTTTATTTAGTACGATGAGAAATTAGTTGTTTTTAGTATTTGATATTTAGTATTTTACTTGAATGTGCAATATGACTTGTCACCAAATGACTCGTCACTGCCACAGGCTGCTACCTATTCTCTACGGCGGCACTTTAATACGTTACTTACTTTCTATATTGTATATTGAGCTGTTGTACATTGCATACTTTTATTAAGATGTATCTGTATTGTATTTTTGGAGCAACCTGGCAAAAATAAATTCCTTCGGGATTAATAAAGTTCTATCTAATCTAATCTACACATTAAACTGTGGAGCTTTGCAGCATTCACCTTTCTAAATGTAGTATACATTTCAAACATAAAATATGTACAATTTACAGATAAAAAAAAGTGATATATTCTTGTGGAAGCTGTGCATGAACACTCACCTTAAAGTGCACAGTGATGCTCCAGGGTAAGACAGTGTTAGATGCATGGAGGTCAAACAGGACTCCAATTGGATAGTGCCTGTCAAGGGAAAACACAAACAGGAAGTAGTATTCAAGGATTCAAGTAGGATTCAAGGATTCAAGGAGGATTCAAGGCTTTTATTGTCATGTGTTCATAGCTACAGTGTAGTTATGACCAGTGGCGGACCGGCCATCGGGACGTTCGGGACGAATCCCGATGGGCCGGTACTGAAATGGGCCGGTCGGACAATGTGGGTCGGTCGGATAAGTCCTTTAAAGTCACTAGCACCCCCCATTGACTATTTACTAGTGGTACCGTGGTGGGCCGGTCGGATAAGTCACTAGCACCCCCCCAAATTACTAGCGGTATTGAAGTGGGCCGGTCGAGAGTCCCGGCCGATTTTTTGTCCCAGTCCGCCCCTGGTTATGACAATGAAAATCTGAGGTCACAGGCTCCTCCAACAGTGCAACACAATAACACAGATAGAATAGTGCAAGTCAATACAAATAGAATAGAATATAATATAATAGAAATAGTGCAAGAATAGCCTATTGGAATATGATATATTAGATCAATTGTTTTTTGGGGGGGGTTTTTAAAGTTGCAAACAGATGAATGTTATGGATGTTCTTTCAAAAGTTCAGGTGTTCAACAGTCTTATGGCCTGTGGGATGAAATAATGTTACTTACTATTGTAACACATGTTTAACAACAGTATGTGTTTTGTAAAAATTGTATCTAAAATGTCAAACTCATTTCTTTGGTGCAGTATGAATAAAACAATACAAAAACACAAGTCTAATCTTATGCCTCAAATCTGAACGCAGATTTTTTTTACGTTACAAAGAACAAAATAATATTAATGAAAACATTTGATGAAGTTTAATTGTAACTTTCTCTAAGATTTAAAGAGCCAAAGGACATAACTGGCGTCTTTTTTGTGGTCTTCTGAGGTTGTTGACGGTTGACGTTTCACTCCCTGTCACTTCCTGTGTTTCAGCCAACAGGAAAGAGCTGCTTTTTGTCATCACACCCTCAAATCATGTTAGGCTTTGAGGTCTAGTTCCCCTAAAAGCCAACAAACCAATGTGGAACATATCTGTCATTTTAAACCTGATGTCAAACTCCCATTACAGGTCACCAGAACCTGGAGTGATGCTTTTAAAGTGTTTTTATAATGAAAACAAGAAATGAAACCAGTTGACATTTGAATAATTTGACCCAACAAATAATTCAATATCTGTAAACGCTGCCACCTTTCTGTAACGTGTTTCACTGGAAGTTTAACGCCTCTATAAGCCAGGCTCTTCTTCATCATCTGTGCTACAATACTGACCCCTTGTGGCTGAACTAGTGTGTCTGCAGACTGTTGAGCTCTGAGAAAAAAAGCCAGATGAGAAACTAACAAGGTGATGGATTGCTTTAAAAAGAGACGCATGATATCCTCCCCACCACATCGAATTAAAAATGTATCTACAATGCTTGCATATTTCTTTTTTACAAATTATACAATGGCAAATTGATTCTCCTGTGAGAATATATTAATCTTCTGCTTTTTCGTCTGTGCTTTGTTTTGGTGATGGCATCTCTGTAAAACAGGATGTGTGATTGGTAATGTGATTGTAAACCATCTTATGTATGCCGACTATTTGGCTGTAGAGTGGTGCAAGTGAGTCAGCATTTCACCACTTCCTGTTCCCTCGTCTCAGAGCCAATGGGATCTCTCCATAGGATGTTGGAAAATAGCTGGAAATAAGGTCTGTGGTTGAGACACATTTAAGAGACGGATCACGTTTTGTTCTAAGACATTAAATCCATCAGCAGTGACCCCGCTGGTGATTTCTGAAGAGATGACGTGTCTGAAAAACGATGGTTGTTACCAAGTGGCTGAATAGGACTACAGAAGTTGTGGAGGTCGTTGTACGTCATCACGCCGAACACGTAAACACTCCTCTAAGTTTGTTTCCCCTGTTCTGCTTGAAAGCGAGTCCCTGCCTCCTGCAGACTGTTCAAACAAACGCTTCAACTTGTTCCATTTTAGAATCTGTAGTTTTGAATATGGATCTTAAGTTGGCGTGACGTCGAAGCAGCGACCCTGCTGTAGTTCGTCTATAGCATAACGTTAGCATTTTGCTTCTGGCGACTAGATTTATGATTAGAAAATTATAAAAGTAGGGTAGACATGTGGAGATTATCTGGCTGAACAAAACGTGATCCGTCTCTTAGATGTGTTTCAACCACAGACCTGATTTCCAGCTATTTTCCAAAATCCTATGGAGAAATTGCATTGCTTTTTTGTCGAGGGAACCGGAAGGAGTTTACTTCCGGGTTTTAGGACGCGTCACTGTGGCACTTTATTGTTTCTCCTAGCAGTGCTGGATTTCAACAGTTGCTAAATGTATGTTCTGATTACGGAGTCAAATTTGATGTTAAATACAATGCTAAGAAGAGCGCTGTAATGATCTGCAGAGCAAAAGGGGGTAAGAACCTTGGTTTTCAAATATTCTATCTGTCAGCGCAGGTGCTGTCTGTTTGCTGTAACACTAAGTATCTGGGACACATCATCACAGATGAAATGGCTGATGATGATGATGATGATGATGATGATGTCATGTATAGACAGCGGCGAGTCTTATATATACAAGCTAACATGTCGGCTAGAAAATTCTCTTGGTGTTCAGATAAGGTTAAGGTGAACCTCTTTAGAGCTTATTGCACTCCTCTCTATACTGCCCCCTTGTGGCTGAAGTTTAAGAAGGCGAGCCTCAAGAAGCTCCAGGTTACATATAATGACTGTCTGCGTATACTGCTTAGAAAACCAAGGTGGTGCAGTGCAAGTGAAATGTTCTGTAATGCACGAGTCAACACGTTCCATGCACTCTTGAGAAATCTGATGTACAAATTAATCTGTCGATTGAATGTTTCTCATAACTCTGTCATTATGCTGCTTTCAAATCCGTGTCTCAGTGCTGTACGATACCAGTCACCTCCGTGGAAACATTGGTATCACTGCCTTTTTTTAATTATATTTGAGTGTTGTATGTCTTTTAAAAAATTGACCTAGAGTCTCTTCCAATAAAGCTGATGATGTACTATGGCTGTATATATGTATGCTATTTGAAACGAGAAACTAACAAGGTGTCCATGGTTACCCCTAACCCTAACCCTAACTTAAGAGTTGCAGGTTATGTGAACGCATTTGTTGCACAACCTGTACAAAAATAACTAATTGTGCTTATTCCCACTTATATTTCAACTGCGATATGATACACATTAAAGGAAAGGTTGATCATTTTAGCATCAATATTCTCATTATCATCGAAAGGCATATTTAAAATGATCATGGTGGAGGGGTGCGTTCCAAACAAAGATATCTTTAATCATTTCAATTTTTTTTTTTTTTTTTTTCTAGGCTGTCAGGAGACTGAACTCTCTCCCCTCCCCTCCCTCCCCTCTCTCCTTTCCCTCTCTCCTCCTCTATATGTGTAAATGTGTCTGTTGATTGTGTATATAGGATATACATATTTTATACATATCTGATCTGTATACTGTATAATTTTACATTCGGGATGGTTAGAAACGTCATTTCGATCTCTCCGT